GCAAAACAGGCAATCACAACGTTTCTTTGTATGCGAAACGGATAGGGAGCCATTTGCTTTAAAATTGGAAATCTTGCCTTCAAGACACCATATGCACGCTCGATAACGTTTCTGAGTTGCGCATGAGCATGGTTGAACCTTTCTTCTTTGGTCAAGGCACGTTGTCGTCGAAAATCAGCAAGCCAATACCTTGTRTTGCGATATGGAGTCATAAAACCTCGAGTATTGGCATAAGCAGCATCACAGAGATAATATTTATCTACAATCGAAAATTGAGTTAATATAAAATGTATAAGAAATGGTAAAGTTGAGTAAAAATTTTACATACCTCGTGGAGGAAATGGAAAGCCAGARGTTGGACTAAAAGCAACTTCTCTCAACACTCTAGCATCATGTGCTATACCCTCTCATCCAGCCCAAACAAATGTGAAAAGCATATTAAAGTCACAAATACCTAAAACATTTTGATAACATTCACCTCTTCCTCTACCTCTATAACGAGCTTGTTGATCAAYAKGTACRACTGCATGTACGAGAGTTCCATCTAATGCACCCATTGCCCCCTTTATTTAGAAATACAAATTAATAGACAATATAACAGGCTTGTTGCAGTTACATAATATAATAGAAAACATACCGGAAATATTTGTCTCAGGTTTCTTTGACGTTCTGATGTGTTTTGCGTTTCGTCAGAGGATGTCGGCCGTATAACTTCTTTTGCAAATTTCATCATTGCTCGTAGCACTTCACGAAAGTGTCTATGAATAGTCTCCGTAGAGTGTTRAAATCTCCGTTTAACCATTCTAAAGCGTTCATTATGGCCAATAATTGTCAAAAATATAGCCATCTTCTYCTCGACGGTCACATTCCTACTATCTTGCAACCAATTTYTTTGWTTAAAATGGTTGCATAATAGTATATACGCGTCCCGAGATAGCCGCATCAATTCAACGCATTGTGTATTCGAACCGCCTAACAATTCTAGCGTATATGCATGACCGGTTAAGGCGGAAGTGTTATCTCTTATTCGTTGTATTCTTGATGGTAATTTGTATTTCCAATACCAATAAATGATCATAACTAGCAAAAGTTCTTCCTCAAAATCCATGTATTACCTTGAAAGCAAAGCATATATCATCCCAAAAAATGA